TGAAATTTCATAAATGATAACAGACGAGAATGACGCAGTGGCAGAGCGCCCGACTCATGACAGCGAGGAGGTGAGATCAAATCCCACACAGGGCAAGGGATTTTTCTCATAATTAATTTACGAATTGAATATTGTTCCATAGTATCGGCTGGGGATAGTCATGCATGATTCACTGATTTTATTAATGCATCACACTTGGGGTCTAGCAGGAATGATTACAGAGATATAGGGTGTTCAAAATCTAGATTTTTCAATTTTAGGATGTTTTTGTGTCGAAACTATTCATTATCGTACAAAACGGCTCACAGGTCCACATCCTAATTTTCGATTCACTATCTAATGACATTCCATTGGAACATATATCAGAATTCTGAATCTTGAAGTACCTTGCATTTTTTCCAATCAAATTCCAATAGATAGTGAATCAAAAGATAATATAGGGATATGTAAGCCGTTTCGATCGATAATGAATAGTTTCGACACAAAAAAATCCTAAAATTGAAAAATCTCGATTCTGATTCTCATTCCTGCTAGACCTTAAGTGTGATGCATTGATAAAATCAGCTCTCCAGGAAGAATCTAAAAATGCAGTAAAATACAGGGTGCTTCATTTGAAATAACAAAGTTGCTAGTTGTTTTTGATGAATATATTTTAGACGGATAGAGAATGTTCAATCATCAAAGCATCCCAATTTTCAGAATGTTCTGTCTTTTCGTTCTCCAGATACTTCTAATAGGCCATCCACCGTGGATCACCCTATATATTTTTAATAATGAAGGATTTCTTGTCAAAAATGCAAAGTTATTCCGCCAAATCTATAATTTCTAAAAGATGTAAATTTTTTTTAAGAACACCCAGTTTTTCATCACAAACTTATCTGAAAAGAGCCCATTAAGGTGTGTTCTAAAACACCTATAGGTGGGGAGCAAAATCACACATGAAAACCCTGTAGATTCCGACAGCCGTGAATCGGTCCGACATTCCGAATGCCCCTCGTACGATCAGCTAATCTAGCGACGCTCTGAATCCCATCCCCCCCAACCCTCCAGCCCCCCTAGCGGCACGGATTGAAGCGGATAGTGTGGCGTTAAGCAGATTATCTTCTCATGATTGATGAAACGGCTGCACCACCGGGGTACACTCGGTACAGCCCGATCCAAAACAGTGATCGGATCAGGTATGCCGTCCGTTTGCGAGGTTTGTCCATATGCCGCCATCGCATGCGATGCAACATGGATGCAACCCAGTCGGCAACTAGAATGGGAAGCAACCGAAATCCGCAGCATAGGCGTCCAAAAACTGTTTCGAAACAATCTTCCAGGCGATCGAAGAATATTCAGTGTTTCAATCAAAATTAACATCAAGATTCACGAAATGAAACTAATTTCATTCAACGCGTACATCGAGTTTCCTTTCAGGCAGATCCGAGGGGTAGACAACTCGTTGAGACTGGTATACACTGGATAAGTGAGTACCTGTTGATTAAATTTTCAGACTTCTTGAGACTCTTGAGTATTTGATTATGTTGAGTACTCTTTGAGACATTTTGAGGCATTTGAGACTTTTTGAGGCATTTTGATTACATTTGAGATGTTTTCCATTACAATTGAAACTATTTGGTTACATTTGAGACGATTTGATTACTTATGAGACAATTTGATTACATTTGAAACGGACTACATTTGAGACTTGTTCATTACATTTGAGATGTTGTTCATTCAATTTTGAGTATTCGATTACATTTGATTATAGGTTGAGTACAGTTGATTAATTGAGTATTGATTATGGTGTACACATTTCGCTGGAAGATCGCTCCATATGGTGGTGGATGGAGTACCGTGTGATACCATTGCTATCAATTCCGGCGTTCCACAAGGATCAACGATCTATTGGGAGCAACCACTCGCCCTATCCACAGCTTTGCAGACGATAGTACTCTCCATACTGCGTTCACTTCCAGAATTCTATAGTTAATTCCACGCCACCAATACTCAAGCCTGTATATTTTCTCTAGAAAGGCGGAACTCAATATGCCCGATATAACAATGCCTGGTTCCACCATTCCCACCAAGACTAGATCGTGATTATTGTTCTTCAGCTTACCACTCACATGCTCTATTTTAATTTTTCTCTCTTTTCCTCTTTCTTCTCTCTTTATTGTGCTCTTTTGCCCTATTAGCATTATTTTTCAATTCACGGCTTTGGTGGAAGATCAGATGCGAATCATTCGCAATCTGAACCAAAAGCCCTTTGTTCATCATATATGTAAATATATGTAAATATATGAACCACTGTATACTGAAATATGTGAACATATATGGTGTCCAAAGATGCGAACCATTCGCAATCTGAACCAAAAGCCCTCTGTTCATCGTATATGTAAATATATGAACATGTATCATTATTATTATTATTATATCTATGCTCGGTATTACCATCAGCAATACTCTCTCATGAGAAAATCATATCCGATCCATTGCAAAAGCTGCTTCACAAAAATTCAGATTCTTGTTCCGTGCAAAAATCTACTTCGCACCTCAACAGCTTCTCAAGATCTACAAAGCACAGATACGGCCAGTTTTAAAATACTGTAATCATCAAAGGAAGGAAGGCGAATGCTCGAAGTCATCTCCACATTTTTTTTCGCAATTGCCCTTCATATACCATTTTGGTATATGAAATTTCGATAAGATGGATGGTATGCGCTCTTGGAATACGATGCCCTTCATTTATTGTGTACCAGTTTTTTAATTTATAAACTCGATTTTTCGACTATAGGCATTGACACAAATTTCAGGACTAGTAGCATCAAATATTTCAACTCCAATCTTTATGTATTGTAGAACTTCCAATTAGGCTGAAGATGGTCTTTTATAAGGCTGAAACATGTCCTTCCTGATAGTGTACCAACAACATTAAAATTTGTGGAGATGACTTCGAGCATTCCTTCTTTTGAAAAATTTCACTCCACTTTGAGCAATAGGGACTTCTACCAAAGAATACTGTGATCTTGTATGGGGTTCATCACCCAAACATACGCTGATGCTCTTAGATTCCATCCAGAGAAGAGCCATTCGCCTAGTGGGTAATGCCACACTCACGAACTGTTTGACCCCATTAGAAGACCGTGAAAAAGTAGGCAACTCTCACTTTTATACAGATATTTCCACGGGAAATGTTCCTCATAAATCTTTGGGTACTAAAGTAAATGATTAAAATGACTTCAATCGTTCTATAGACGGATTGTTGAAGTCAATATCAAAATTTTCCTCGGGTATTATGGATATTTTCAGACAATATCTAACGTGTTTGTCAAATTGCTCTCGATTTTCAATTTTATTAATTATTTTGAATATTATGGATGTGAAAAAGTCACAATCGCAGTTATAGACTCGTTTACATTCGAATTTTGAACTCCTCGAACCAAACTCGGTTTGTTGATTATATCAACAGTTCATATAGGCTTTTTACTTTTTTATGAGGCTGTGGTTTTACTTCGATGTCGAAGAAATAATCCTAATTGAGAGTCGGCCGATACGCTACTGAATACCACTGGTAGGCCAGTTAAAGCTGGATTAAGCCGAAGGTAGGGGATTAAAGGAAGCTGGGATTAGAGGGACCCTGGCCTTTCCCCCCGCTTTGAGACGGGAAGTTGGAGATTAAAGCTCGCGAGGGATTAACATTCACCGGCATCAAATATAAAAGAAGAAAAAAAAGGAAACATAACTCTGATAAATGTCCTTCTAATCGCGCTGGTTTCTCATTCAAATACCTCGTTTGCCGTATTTATATAGCCTATAGATTTATTTCGATAATATGGAAATAATAATCTCAATAGGATATAAAATTGAGATGAGAGACTTATATTTTTTTCTGAGGAAATTAAACTAACGAAAAACACCTGATCACTCAAAATACTTGAAACAATGTCGATTTCTGGGTAACAGATTACGTAGATAACAGGGTATTTTCAAAGGCATAACCAGATGACGAATGGTCACATCACTGTGACGAACCCAATCGGAGATTTTTCTTCAGAGACGTCACACACCAATTTCTGACATCACTATGACGTATTTTATATGATGTGATAATGACGTCATTATTATGACGTTGGGTAAACGTCACTTGTATGGGTTAAATAAGACGTCAGTTCCATGAGGTTGCAGGGTCGTCGTGCCATCGTCTTGTTTCTATATAGTTCGGTATGTTGTGTATAATATATGCAGGGTGTTCCAAACTCGAGGGCCTCTATTAAACATTTCTGTCGAATGGGAAATAAAATAATTTTGAAAATTTGGTTTCTTGTGTAATCAGTTCTGTGTTATCGATCTGAAAAATTATCAGCGCTGTGACGTTGCCACCTCTATTGAAAAGTAGCAATAACTTTGATATCTCGAATGGAACACCTTTTATTTTATTGTGTTGCTGCTTCTACTAGAAAGTAGTAGCAACATTGATATTTCAAATGGAACATCCTGTATTTTATCGCATTTCTAGATTCTCCCTGAAGAGCTGATTTCATCGATTCATCACACTTGGGGTCTATCGAAAAAAATAACAGAGATATAGGGTGTTCAAAATCGCATGTCCCAATCTCAAATTCTGATTCACCGTTAGGTGAGTGACTGACGTCAAAAGACGTGAGTAATAAGACGTCATTGGGCTGTGACTTATTCACGTCATTTATCACGTCACACCACGTCAACTCCTGACGTCACCTTGGTCATTCAACTGACGTAAATAGATGTCACTGAAACGTCATCTGGTTACCTGGGATACTTTCCAACAGGATGTTGAACTCATCATAATAAACCATTTCAACCAACCAACGAAATTGAAAAAGTCACCGATAAAATTGTCCCTGTTATAGTCATCGTCGCAAAAAGTAATCAAAGTTGTCACGTTTGCTTCATGTAGTCGTCATGATGCGGCAGCACTTCGCCAGGTCCGTAATATAACAATTAATTGAATTTATACAACTGTCATTATACCTCCGTTAATTTGCAATTTTTAAATAGTCACACATTCGAAAGCACCCTGTATAATCGCTACCGTATTTTTTTCTAAATCTCGTATCATTTTGTAAGAACTCACCAGAAGATATATTTTTCGAAGGGTCGAACTCCTCTTTGATCGATTGGGGTGAAATGGTATTCTCTAACGGGGTGGAAGATCTTGCTAGTGGTGGAGTCGGTGCCCTTTCTGCAGATTCTAGACTAGCTCTTTCTGTGATAGCACCAGTAGTAGGTGTTGGGGGAGGAGATTTGCAATTTCTCGTGAGAGCTAGAGCCTGATTCTGAAACAAAAATGTGTCGAAACATCATATCATACGCATATAGTCGGAACGAATAAGTTTCAAAGTAATATTTAAAATCTAAATTGGAAAATATATTTTTGTCGTATTTTGGCAAAAACCTGGCTAGGAAATATACAGGTTAGGTTAGGCCACACGCAATCACCTACATATACTCTTGGTCAACACATAGTTATATTTTCTAATAAGCAAATATCAACGGAAGAGCAGGGCCGGATTAAGACCACTTAGCACATTACAAAAATGAAAAAATGGAAAATATTATTCTTCTCATTTTCAATATTAAGATTTCTCAGTGACAGCTAAGTGAAAATTTGATAATTTTTCGATATACCAATATCCGTATTTGCTCTTCTTCGAACATTTTTTGAAACAAGGTGTCATTGACAATAGACAATTTTTATTTTCTGGCGCTCTAATGAAGGCATTTTTGCAACGCAGTGATATTGGGGTAAATCATCTGAAATTACAAGCAAGAGATATCATTTCTGGAAACTCTAAACTGGCACAAATGAAAAACGGAGGAAAAATATCATCGAGCTCCCTTTCTGGCCTTGAGCACTATACTTTTCAAAATGTCTCAATAATGCATTCATCAAAACTAATCAATGTCTGAGAGAGGCATATGTCGCTTATCCCTGATGATGGATATATCGATCGAAACTTGTATAACTAGTCGGTCTCAAAATGTAGAGATACTAACTTCATGATATTTATTGATAGTTATATTATAGAATGGAATATTCATTCATTCAACAGGCGATATTTCACATTGGTACATGAAAAGTCAACAACAAAACCATGAAACATCCTAAATTATACATTCACATGAGTGGTTAATATAATAACAAACAGGCTGTTAAGTAACAAAATAGTGAGCGACATGGAAATATATAGATTTTGAATACAGGGTGCTCCATTTAACAGATACCAGTTTATGTAAAATTATCAAGTTTACGATGGTTTTTGCATTTTCTAGTACTTGATTCTGAATGCCCAGGAAAAATACTGCCTTTTGCCAATTTTGATGTTTCTATGAGACCAATATCATTTGAGATAGCTATTGAGTGAAATATAAACAAATCTGCCTAGTTAGTAGCCTATAGTGGACGCGTTTAATCTGGGTTAAGTGGGGTCAAAAAGCTACTGAATTCCTGAATGTTATATCCATCAATTATTACGACATGTAATTGGGAACAAATCTCTGCGAATTAATGGGAATCTCGGTTGATGTCACACCTAGTTCAATCGATCGAATTAACGACAATTCAAGTCTGAGGAAGATCTGAAGGTCTATAATGATAAATCCGAGTATAAATCCATTAATGAGTATCAAATTAATACACAAAATGATGGATTATTCAAGAAAATGAGGCTCCTGCAAAGTGTCAAGAAAAATCCGAAATACGTATTTTGAAATACCTACTGTCTGTATATATAGATATAACATGATATTCACTGATGAAATCTGGATATAATAATGGTGAATTCAAGAATAATTAATGAAACCATTCTGTAACTCATTTGTTTTCCATTTTTTTAGGTTGAAACCGAAGTGTCACTGACAAACGATTGAATTCTTCTTTTATAAACAAAAAATTTTTAAACGTAGTGACATTCTGGGGCAAACCAATTGATATGTCCTCATTACACGCCTATATTGAAATAATACTCAAATTATTATTTTATAGAAACGTGGAAGGAAATCCCAAGAAATCTGGAAAAAATTAACGTATTTTGAAAAAATGCAACTATGGAAGCTCTCCAGTGAATAGAAATAGGTACATGCAAACACATAATTATACAAGGTGTTTTTGAAATAAGTGCATATATTCAGCACATTAATATGATACAGTCTAAGGAATATTTACATAAAATATCAGATTTTCTCTAATTCTTCTAATCATCGAGAAATTTCTTCCCAAAAATTAAACAAAATACGAAAAAAAAATCAAGTACGACACTTTAAAACAATTTGAATGTTTGAACTCGCGATTGTGCCTACCGCATGAAAATTTGAACAGAGGTGACGTCAGATTTGCTACAGTGTAGAACTTGAAAAGGGTCTAACCTCAAGTTTTATTTTGATACCGAAATTCCTTTTATTAAGTGCCATTCGATAGTTCACGTCGAGTTTTCTCAGTGTTCGAAATGTTTGCACTTATTTCAATGCCACCCTGTATATGAGTACAAATGAAATTATTAAAAATCATTTTGGAACTGGTGCACCTAATCATACTGCTTAAGTTTATGAAATGTATTCTACAAAGCTGATAAGATTCTTCCTTTGAGAAATCTTCCAATTTACAGATTTACTTGGCAGCTTTTGTATAAACCGGGTGAAAAAGTGTAGATGCTCCTTATAATTGTAACAACCCCTGTTTATTTCGACAACAGAAGACTCACAAAGGGCAATTGTGCCTCGATAACCCTACCGCTGGATTCTTGAACCGCTCCCCTAATAATACTTTTCCTGCATACTCAGATATAAGAAGATCCAAAACTAAATCTGCATGACTCATAACTCTTGTTAATCCGCATATAACAAGCATTTGTGTTCCCTTTTTTTAAAGCTGTATTCTTAGTCTTTTGAAATTAAATAAGCTCATCAACCTCAAGTTTCGTATAGACTTACAGACGTAATCTGCATCCGTATACTAACTTGAATGTTGAATGGATTATGTTTATGATGGAATGAAATAAACGAATTGTTGTTGGTTGTTGGACTCGCGTTTGTCAGTTCAGAATGGTTCACTAGGCGGAATTCCAGACAAAAGAACCTTTATTCTTGACGTAATGGCACCAGGGGCGTCATTTGGGGGCCATTTGCATTTTGCATCTTTTCTCAGGTTCCAGGAGCTTAGGCCGAGTTAGGTTATCAGCTCATGGAATATGGAATAATGCTTCTATGCTTATTTAAGTCTATCACATGTGCGTCTAATTTTATATAACATCAACTTATTTGTTCATTCAATTTCAGTTACTTGATGATTGTATGGAGGTTGTGGTTGAATATTAGTTTGTTCAGCTTCCCTTGATATGTTCAATCTACTATACTTTGTATATGCAACATGTTCTTTGAACCGAAGTTCACCTAGTTTGACCTACATATGTTTTTTCGCAATGGTAACAACAAATTTCGAAAATTTCTGATGTTTCATGGGTGTCTTCTGAATTGCCTGATAAGATAATTGATTTCGATCTGAACAAATGAGTTTTCCCGGCCCTAATGTCTGCCTGAAGGATTTGTGTATATTATGTGGTATTGAACGACATTTTTATTTTTCTTGAATGTAGTTGCTTTTCGATGGAGATGCCGTGATCTTTCGAAATGGGAATGTGTATGTAGCCATTATATACGAACACATTTTCAAAATTTCAATTTTTCCTGGTCAAGCTGATGAAATTCAACTGCTGATCATTGAACCGCAACGATCACATTTTTGCACTAAATTCAACATTCAATATTTTCGTATGCCATAAAAGTGTATTGATTGAAATCGAATACAAATTCCATCGATTTTGAGAAACAAATTATGTTGCTTGGCAACCACACGAGCGCATAGAGCGAATGCGATTGCCTGAAACAACATAAATTGTTTCGATTTTTCAACATTCAATATTTTCGTATGTGATACAACAAGTGTTGATTATTATCGAAATACAAATTCCTTCGCTATGCGCTCGTGTGGTTGCCCATCAAGCAACATAAGTTGTTTCGACAAAGATATGGATTTTTCGACATCATCATCAATAAAACGAGTTTTGTTTGTTAAGATTATTTCACTAATTAGTTCATGAATGAAACAATAATTTCATGTCATATTTTAATTTGTAATCGATGCGTTATGCAACTTACGATCGAATGCAGTCTAGGTTAGCGATGTCAAATTGTCAAAGTGATGTCTCTCAATTCGAGAGGTTAGGTTGATATAAAAACATGTTTCCTCAAATTTCGATCATACAAAGTTGGTTTAAAATTCTTCTATATAAATTAATATTGGGTGCCTATCACGATTTTGTCTGAAGTTTAGTGTTGAGTGCTATGTATCCCTGAATATGAAAATATTATGACATCCATTTCCTTGACAGCATGCTGCTGCATGTGAGTAATTTTGTTTTAATTTGATCAAACTACCAATGAGAAAGCGAAATACAAAATCGAAAACACGAAAACGAAAACATCATGTTTTCGATTAACAACACGCAGATATTCCAACCAATCAAAAACGCATATTTTGAAATGAGTGGAATAATCGCGATAACTGCACATTTAAGGATGCAGTTTTCTTCATTACAAAGATGAATTCATTGACTATATGACTACTAGACCGCTAATGAAAATACATGGTAATACAGAGGGTGACAAATGAATCTCTGCTAAATATTGAAGAATTCTCCATTCTCCCAGTCTGATGGAAAATTTTTGGATGTTTTCAATCATAATTTTGAAATGCTTTGGCAATCTATTTCTTATGGCACCAAGAAGACCGAGCATAATACATTAATCAACTTGTGAATTATCCAAGATTGAAGACAGAAAATGAGATCCCGCGACAAAACAAGAGAATTAATAGACAGGGTGATACAGCAAGCAGGTTATTGTGTACCACCCTGAGCAACATTCCAGTGATGAAAGAAGTCAGTGTTGATGAATCACATACATTGATAAACTGCCAAAGTCACTTTGAATGCAAATTTTGTATCACCCTGAAACTATACATATTCTCGTTTTTTTTTTTCATGAAATGTCGAGGAAAATTGCTGTCATTCATTATTGAACACCATACAAGTTGATAAATTTGTTGATGTGCTCGGTCTTCCTGCTTCCTGTGATGATATCAATCCATTATTTTAGTAAAACAGGGTGCCTCTGTAATGTAAACAATCTCCGACTTCATATATAGGTACAATTATAGGTCACAACAATCCCTTGAAGAAAAAAATCTCTGGAAATAGCGCAGCAATGACAAATATTTCTGGTCAAAAGTACAAAATCTCACAAGTTTCGAAAAAAAAATGTTGTTTTGAATTCTTGAAGGGGCAAGAAAAGAATTTTTCAATATTTTGCAGAGGTCATATTACCATATCCATGCAATGGATTTATCTTCAAAGTGAAAGAAACACCCAATTGATTTTTTTGCGAGTTTTTTTGACAAAAAGGCAAAGTCGAACCATGTGTTAATTTAGTGATGAGTGACACCACTCGTTAATGACTATATCGGGTGGGGTGCGTGAGAGAGTAGACATTAGGAATTTGGCTTCTTTTCGGCGCACAACTCCCTTGAATGACAGACCGGGCCATAACATCAACTTCTGCGAATTCGCATTGCAAAAAGTGCCATGGCCACAGAACAAGATCATCGACCTGCTTTGAAGAACACGGGCGCAGAAAATGCGAGATGAAAGGATATCATCACACACAGTACGACTTTGAGTACGACAGCGATCATCATTACGAATCGAACGTATCACGATGGCTTTTGTACGTATGCCTTGGATACGTTGATACGTACAATGAATAGCCCTTGGAAGAGCCTGATAGTATATTACATAACAAGAGTTGTAAAACGCATATTAAGCACGAAGTGGAGAGATGCCGCGTAGCGGCGAGTTTGTGCCTCCACAAGTGCGTAATTTTTATGTGTATATTCCTATTGTCCTTCTAAAAGAACATCTCTGTTTTTTAATTCAATTCAATTCAATTCAATCTATTCCATACAACAAGAAAATCATCATATTAGAATCCTTTAGAATCGTTCAAAATAAGAGGATTATATTTAAGCATAAGTATATGCTTGTATTGTGCCCAATCCCTATATTTGAACGAATGCATTTCATACAGTATTTGACAACAGAAATGTGGTTGTGGTCCTATCTATTGTTTCACATGTACATGGATTGTGTCTGTTACAGTCAGATTTTTTTATCTTCAATTTATACTCTTGAGGTTGATCAGTAATTTGCAGTGAGAAGGTCATGAATTTTGTTTTACTTACATTTAGAGTCAATAAATTATAGCCATTCCAGGTCTTTACTTTTTGCAAACCATCTTCAGCAAGTTCATATAGACGTTTTGCCAAGTTTCTTCCGTATAAACAATAGCTGTATCGTCAGCATAGCAGATAAGATGACCACAAGAATCATTTATTTCCGAGATACGGTTTATGTAAATAAGGAATAGGATAGGTCCAAGTACCGTACCCTGTGGAACCCCAATAGTAACTTTCTGCGGATCACTCAGTTGGTTACCAATTTCAACTTTCTGTGATCTGCCAGATAAATAATTCTGCTTTACAACTCGAGAAATGTACTATATTTTTTCTACGACTACACTATACTACCTTCTATTGTGTTAAGACACAAATATCGGATACGTCTCCCATCACTTTAAGATAACTGCATAAAAAGATGGAAAATAACAATTATTCTTTTATTTTTCTATTGGTAAATTGCAAAATCGCAAACCAAATTCCTCAATTTGAACTAAAATGAACCGTTTTCCATATCTTGACAACTTTATAAATATCAAAAAACACATTCGATGAATATATAAATTTATTATGATGGGTTATTTATTATCACTGTGCAGTTGTTGAAAGTAACAGAATATTTTCCAAGAATGATATGATTATTATTATTCCTGAGTAAATTTTTGAAGCAATTCATTTATTGGTATTTTTGCTCTTTCGATTTCGATTGATGACTTGATTTTTTAATGACAAGTGCCTAAGCAACAAAACAAAGTCATCTATCAACATACCTATGCTGTGAGTAAGGAGAAGCTCACTGACATTGTTTTGTATACAATATGCATCACATACAATAGTATAGGTAGTCGTAGGAAAACTGTTATGGCTGACCAAATATTTGATTGCTCAAATTGAATCGGTCGATCCCCCTGAATTGACTTCAAGGTGTTAAACGCCAACTAATAGGGCTCCAGGTGTAACAACTCCATTCCTGTGCTGACATGATCCTGAAACAACCCCCTTGCGAAGTAGATTTCAGATTCACTGCATCCAACAAAATTTTTTTTTTTAGTTCGATACTATCTATAGCAGGAACGATCGGAAAAAAGTTGTCGGCTATTTTTGCATATAATATATCGTCGATGTTTGGTAATTGCTAAAGAAAAATCAATGAGTCAAGTTGAATGAATCGCAAGATATTACCAAACACGAGTATTTTATTATCATGAAATGAAGTTTTTCATATATTTTGGTAAATGTTATAAAATAAGATATATTTCCGCTAGGTATATCTTATTGACGAGAAATAGAAAATAAATACTTAGTCGTATTGGATTTCGTCACGCTCAACTTTGCTCTTTCCCTTGACTTTCATGTTATGGAATAACGTCGATTTCAGCAATAATTCGTTGAAAAATATACAGAGCTCGAAACAGTGAACTGTCTCTGGTAAGTACTTCAAAATAAACTGAAAGGACTAGCACTGACATATGCTTGCCCATTGCTAGAACTTATAGACGTACAAACTGTATTTCTAATAACTTCGTAGA